TACCTAGGGGAGGCCCGGGACCGGTTCAGAATATTCGGTCACTTCCACCACCGTCTCCACGTGGGGCCGCTGAGGTGCTGTGCTGCCATCTGGCGACAGGGCGCAGGAACGACAACATCAACAACATCAACAACATCGACAACATCAACAACATCGACAACATCAACAACATCGACATCGTCGGTACGCATGGGCACGTCAGCTCGTGTCAACCACTGCCGCCGTGCGGGAGTCGCTCGCTCTCGTAGAGAGAGAGGGGACTACCCCTATCACTACCCCTATCACTACCCCTATCACTACCCCATCACTACCCCTATCACTACCCCTATCACTACCCCATCACTACCCCTATCACTACCCCTATCACTACCCCTATCACTACCCCAGCCCCTATCACTACCCCAGCCCCTATCACTACCCCTATCACTACCCCTATCACTACCCCTATCACTACCCCAGCCCCTATCACTACCCCAGCCCCTATCACTACCCCTATCACTACCCCTATCACTACCCCTATCACTACCCCAGCCCCTATCACAACCCCTATCACTACCCCAGCCCCTATCACTGCCCCTATCACTATCCCAGCCCCTATCACTACCCAAGCCCCTATCACTACCCCAACCCCTATCACTACCCCAACCCCTATCACTACCCAAGCCCCTATCACTACCCCAACCCCTATCACTACCCCAACCCCTATCACTACCCCAACCCCTATCACTACCCCAACCCCTATCACTACCCCAGCCCCTATCACCACCCCTACTACTACCCCTACCACTATCACTACCCCTACCCCTATCACCACCCCTATCACCACCCCTACCACTTTCACTACCCCAACCCCTCCCACACGTTCTCTCTCACCATAACTACACCACCACCACTTTAAATAAGAACCTCACTCTCTATCTCAACCACTATGATCTTACGCGCATTTCTTTACATCCGAATTGTTGTAAAGCGCCGTGGAATAAGGCGCGCTATACGTAAATATATAAGTTAGATCAGAAAAATAAAAGTAGTTCTTACACATCCCATTCGCCGCACGACCTTCTGAGAGTGTGTAATTTCAGCAACATTGATTCAATGCAATTGACTCGACACACACAAACAGTGTATATAAATAGCGAGACATCTGTATATCGCACGATTTAAAATGCGCTTCGGCGGCCGTCTGGAACGTTCTTCCTTCCGATATTAAGACGCCACTGGGAGTTACTCACTTTTAAATCATCATCTAAATTGAAAACGCATTTCTTTCGAACTGCTTTTTTGTTGCGTCTAGTTTATTGTCCTTCCCTCGCTCCCTCCGACGAGCACCGTTGGCTACGTACGGTGCGATGGAAGTTCAACACACACACACACATACACACTCATACACACAGCAAACACACAATTGGGATAACATTGGCGGAAGAGAGAAATAACGACAACAACATTCAATAAACGCGCACGCAAGAAGAGCTCAGCGTGGACAGGGCTCAGAATTTCACCAGTGTGTTTGGGTCACTGACTCTGTCAGTTCACTCTGTAAATAATCCGACATTGACAGCCCTGGCGGCGGTTGTGGCGGTGGTGGTGATGATGGCAGCAGTAGTGCTGGGTGGTGGTGGTGGTGGTGGTGGTGATGATGGTTGCGGTGGTGGTGATGGTTGCGGTGGTGACGGCTGCGGTGGCTACGCTGCTGCACGTGGCTGCCTGTAAATCGATCACTGTGAAGGAGGCAGCAGCGAGGGTTGGTGCGTGCCGATTCCTCCGGGCACTTCGCTTTCCTCTTGCGTATATAAACACTCATTCGTTGGTTAGTAATTAACACCTCAATATATAAAGGATCACGGAGCTTGGGCAATGATTGGCCCCGGCTCATCGCCTGTCCGCTTCCTTGCCGTGCTACACGCGCCTTCGAAGCCAGCTGAAGCCTCCCATACGTCACGTGACGTGTGTGGCCACCCCCACCCCCTCCACTCTCCCCGCCCACTGTGAAAACAGACTCCGCTCCTCCAGCTCCCTACAGCAGCGGCAGCAGCGTCGAGGCGCTGCTGCCGCTGCCTCCTCCCTAGCGTCGTCTCCCCAGAGCCCTCCGCTCATTCTCCATCCGTTCTCCTCTCTCTCTCCCCTTTCCTCTCTCTCTCTCTGTCTCTCTCGCTGTCTCTCTGTCTCTCTCTGTTTGAGTTTTATGCGGCCTTCTGGGATGAGCTTGGCCCTCCACGACTGCAATTGTTGACGGAGAGGCCTGCAGAAAGGGGGAACTCCCACAGAGCTGGAGGAGAGCGGTGGTCTCCCTGCTGCCCAAGAAGGGGGACCTGCGCCTCCTCGTGAACTGGCGACCCGTGTCCCTCTTTGTGCGCCGACTACAAAATCTTCTCCAAGGTGCTGGCAAACCGTCTCAAGACAGTGCTGGGTCAGCTGATCCTGCCGGAACAGTCGTATTGCATCCCCGGACGGTGCATATACGACAACATCGGTACGGCCAGAGACGTAATCTCCCTTGCAGAAGCGCACAACGTGGACTTGGGCCTCCTCTTCTTGGATCAGGAGAAGGCCTTTGACAGGGTGAGCCACGAGTACCGTGGACAAACTCCTAACGTCGCTCGGCTTCGGCCCGGCCTTCATCTCGCACGTGAGGCCCTTGTACACGGGGGGCACGTCCAGCCTCTTGAAGATAAACCAGCGGCTCGGCGTTCCCTTTCTCTGTGACGAGGGGGGTCAGACGGGGATGCCCCCTCTCGGGGCTGCTGTACCACCCTGTCCATTGAGCCACTGCTACGCCACCTGAGACGAAGTCTGTCTGGCCTCAAAGTCCCGGGACCTGAAAACGTGGTCGTCAAGCTCTCGGCTTACGCAGACGACGACGTGATGCGTCGTGATCAACGACGCGCAATGACGCCTCCGTGCTCTGCCAGGCGGTTGCAGTGTCCGAGAGGGCCTCCTCCGCCAGGGTCAACTGGCCCAAGTGCGAGGCCCCCCACTGTGTTTGGGGTCGCGAGGCGGTGTTCGCTTTGTGCTCCTCCCAGGAGGAGTCAGTTGGCAGGACGACGGAGTCAAGTACCTGGGGGTTTACCTGGGGAAACCACGTGACGTCGCTCTGAACAACTGGACCGAGCTGGCCGACACAATCGAAGCTAAATTACTGACATGGGCACCACGCCTCACTCCGCAGATGTCATTCAGGGGCCGAGTGCTCGTCGCTAACACCCTGGAAGCATCCGTGCTGTGGCACAAGACCAAGGCCCTCCAGCCTCCTGCTTGGCTACTCACCAGAGTGAACCGCTCACTCGCGCACTTCGTCTGGCACGGGAAGCACCGGCTCAGGCCGGGCGTTCTCTGCCTGCCGGTGGGCGAGGGCGGCCAGGGTCTGGTGGACATCGCCGCCAGGGTCACGAGTTTCAGGCTCGTGGCGGTCAGGCGGCTGCTGTACGACCGGGAGGAGCTATCCTGGAAGTCGCCGGCCCTCGCCCTGCTGAGGAATGCAGGGGGGTGCCTGGGGTACGGACAGGAGCTCTTCCTGACGGACCTGAGCCTGGTCGACTACACGAGGCTGCCAGGTTATCACCAGAGCCTCTTGGACGCGTGGCGGAGCTTCGAGTGGAGCAGAACGCGCGCGCCCTACGACCTCGCGCTGTTCCTGAACGAGCCCCTTGTTCTGCAACGGCCTCTTCCAGGGAATCAGAGGAAAGAGGACCCTGGCTCAACGCCTCACACCAGCAGGGCTGCGGGCAGTCTTCCACCTCGTGCAGGTCCCAAACACAGCGCTCTACACGTGCTATGTCAAGGCGCTGCATTCCCGGGACCTAGCCGACCTACCGGACACAAAATGGAGAGACCATTTCTCTCCCCTCATTGCAGCCGCCCCCCCAGTGGAAACAAATGTACAAGTCTCCCGTAGCCAAACGCTGCGGTGACCTCCAGTGGAGGTTGGCACACTGCACGTTGCCATCGGCCGTGTGGCTCAGCCGAATCTCGCCAGGGGTAACAGACTTGGTGCATTTCCTGCGGGGCCAGGGAGGATCTGTCCCACCGGTACTTACGCTGCCAGCGGCTCAAACCAATGTTCCGCCTTTTGGGGGACATCTTCAGGAAACTGGGGGTACCTTTCTACAACAGCAGCTTCGTATATGGGGGTGGTGCCTTACCTGGCTAACAAGCGCCATGACCTCGCCAACTTCGCCTGTGCTCAGGCGAAGGTGGCGGTTTACAGAACGAGGTAAAAGACGCTGCAAGGTGACACTGACGGCTGCTCTGTGCTGCTTCCAGTGTTCAGGGGCCTGCTTAAGGCGCGGCTCCGGCTGGAGCACGCCACGTGACACACACACGTGTCGGTGATGTGCAGCGCGTCTTCCTCGAACGCTGGGGAGCCGGACAAGCCCCTCTCTGTACCAGCGTGGACGGCACCACCCCACGTGTTCACCTTCTGAAGCGCTCGCTCGTCACCGTGCCGTGCGCGATGAACACCACCACACCACCACGTGACTTTTCTTTCGTGTTGTGCGCGGTGTATTTAGCGCCACAGCGCGTAGATTTATAGCGTTGGTTTTATTTGTGTTGCTGGTGACTTTGTGTGTTTGTGTTGCTGGTGACTTTGTGTATTTCATATCGGAATCGCCTCCAGTGCTGTTGCTGCTGGCGGCAATAAATGTTGTTTAAAAGTCTCTCTGTCTCTCTCTCTACGGGCACCTTCTGAAGCGCTCGCTCGTCACCGTGGCGTGCGCGATGCACACCACCAACACCACCACGTCACTTTTCTTTCATGTTGTGCGCGGTGATTTTTAGCGCCACAGCGCGTGGATTTGTCTACGTTTATTTTCATTTGTGTTGCTGGTGACTTTGTGTGTTTCATATCGAAATCGCCGCCAGTGCTTTTGCTGCTGGCGGCAATAGAAGTTGTTTAAAAGTCAAAAAGTCAACCGACGCGTCGCGTCCTCCGCTCCGGTGGCACGGGTGGTGCAGCGGTCCCTTTGTCGTTACGAAGGAGAACGAGGCTGACCAGCAAGGCATTGCTCATAGCGACATGCGATTGGTTTATTGGTAGTTACACGCGACATAATGAACGCACGCAATTAGAAAATTATCTAAAGCAGCAAATATATTTTAAAAAACACACAATTTGTAATTATACAGACCGGACAGTGCTTGCGGATGGGTGCATAACAGGTGCTATCGTGCTGGTTACATTAACAGGCGTGGTGAAGTACGGTCGAATACCCCCACCCCACCACACAACCACGACTCGCACGCCTTGTGGGGCATGGAGCCCTCATCCAGCAGTGAGTGGATAGACCCCAAGGACTGGCTATGTATGGTGGTGTTACCATTCGATAATAGACGATGCCCCAATTATCGGTGTGGTGTAGTGCAGTGGCGAGTGACGTCGTAATTAGCACCAGGGGACCACATGATGTGTTTTGCTTTACTCGGTAAGAATTAGTTTTTTTTTTCAGAGGCGACCTGGCCCACCACAAATGATAGCCCAACGAAGTGGCTTAATTGTCATCATCATCATCATGATCATGTGGAAATGTATAGAAACCAAATACTCTAAAGGGCGTGAGAAAAATCCATGCCACCATCGGGAGAGAGACGCGCAAAAATACAGCAGCAGGCGTCAGGGTCGTGGATCGAACCTACGACCTCCTGTAAACCTGGCGAGGTAGTCAACATCTCCTAGCCACCGCGGCGTCCATAGGCCTCTGAGCGCACGCTTTACCTAAAAAGTTTCGTTTCTTTGTATGTATTGCTCAAGTAATTTGTTTACCTTTCTTATACTGTGCACTCCTATCGTGCGTTTGTATCAGTCGTTGTTGTGACGTTCTGACCCCGTGCCTCGACTGGACATCTGTGGCCAAAGAGCTTCACAGCTCATCGGATTCCTTCCACTATACATACATATTCCGATTACCCGCGCTATAGATTGTCGGATGACATCATTCTGATCGGCTTCGTCAATATCCCGTGGCGTGAACAATGCAATGTTTCCGATTATTTTGTTTCGGTCTGTTTGTGTTTTAAAGCAAGCTGTGAGCGAGCCGAGATGAACCCAGCAGCGACGTTGGGCGAGCGGCGTCTCTCGACCAGAACCGCCGTCTCCTCCTCCTCCTGCGAGCGAGCGAGGCGGTGTCACGGAGAGAGTTTACAGCCCTGCACGTACGCCGACAGGTCCTTGCCACGACACTTCGCCTTCCAGCCATCCCTGCAACGGGAAAGGGAGCCGCCGTTCGTTCGTTCGTTCGTCCGTTCGCTCGCTCACTCGCTCGCTCGCTCGCTCTGGGTCAGTTCGTTCACTCGGCCGGTCCGTTCAGTCACCCCAGTCCGTTCGTTCGGTTCGTTGTGCGTAGTGGCCCAGGCGCTGGTTGCAAAGAGTCGTGCTTCGAATCCGGGAGGCCACCATGGTTAACACTGCGGTGTGTAATAACCCCGACAATACTACTAAGCGTCGTCAAATCCACTCGCAGTGCGTTAGTGTGTGCTGGTGTCATGTAGAGGCCGACCGAAATTCGGTTTCGGTTTCGGCGCCGAGAGTTGGCGATTGGCCACTTTCGGCATAGTTTCGGTTTCGGCTGAAACCAGAAAATCAGTTTCGGTCTGCCTCTCGTGCCTTGGTCCACATTTAAAACAAAAATTGCACCCTTCGACACAGCAGCAGCAGCAGCTATCATCCCCCTCGACTGACAGACCAATACCCGCTCAGAGCGCCCGGTGCTGAACCCACCTGGTGCCTCACAGGGACAGCTGCCAGTGGGGGTGCCCCCTTGCAAATGGCGTTGACATGCGATGCAAGTCCCTTATCGCGCGCGAAGCTCCCCGAGACTCCCCCGGTGTTGTATCACACAACTCAAACTCACGATTCGTTCACTCGCACGCGCGCACTAAATACATGTACAGCCCTTTGTCAATCCACCGCTGGACGAAGACATCCTCACGCAGCATTGAGTCATGCGGGCCTCTTTGACCATACTTCACCACGCTGGTCAGTGCGAGGACTGGTTCAGATATCACTCGTCACTGATGCTGGCCGTGGCAGGGAATTGAACTTAACTCGTTTGCGGTCTTAAGGTAGCACGTGAATCACCACGCTACCATGACGCTGATAATGATGATTTTGCTGATAATGATGATGATGATGACGACGCTGATGATGATTCTGCTGATGATGACGACGCTGATGATGACGAGGATGATGCCGATGTGGATGATGCTGGCGAAGCTGCCGATGCAGATGGCGATGATCCCGATGACGATGATGCCCATTCGTGAGTGAGCCGCGCCGTGTCCTGCTGTTGCTGCTGCTGCGTGCATGGTGACTACGCACCAGGCCTCCAGTCCCTGCTCCTTGAGAACCAACTTGGCGCAGGTGACGGACTCTGTGATGTCGCTTCCAAGGAGCTCTGTGAACAACAGCGACGACGTTGCGAAGGAGCAGCAGAGAGGTGGCAGAGATGCGGAGAGTGGCACCGATGAGCTCCTGGGTGCCAACGCGGGCGTTAGGCGCCGACGGTGATTACACCGGCAGTGAGATGGTGGCCTCAGCCCGGTCACCATAGACTCACATAGAGACCCATAGACTTACACAGAGAACCATCGACTGAAGTAGAGACCCATAGACTTACACCGAGACACGTAGATTCGCATAGATACCCATAGACTTATACAGAACCGTCGACTCCCATCGAGACCCATATACTTACACAGAGACACAGACTCACAGAGACCCATAGATTTACACAGAGACACATAGACTCACATAGAGACAGACTCACACAGACTCCACGCACAGAGACCCATACACTCACACATCTAACCCTAGACCCGCAAATAGACGTTCCAGGAAACGGGCCTTCATAGCACATCAAGAGGGCTGCGACAGGACACGTCACGTGGCCTATGGTCAAGGACAGTAACGGAGTGGCAGCCAAGGGATAGAGAACGCGTCTGAGAAGGCGTCCACGGTGGAGATCAGCTGGTGCGGCGGTGTTGGTGGCGACTTGGTGGGGGAGTCCCCCCGCGTGTGTTCGACATAGGCGCCGGGCACACGGTGCGGTGGGCTCGCCGTGGGTAGAGGGGACCAGAGGTCCCGGAGGAAAGCCACGCAGAGCAGGGGCACAACAGAGAGAGTCCATACTCTCTGGTTCTATTGGGTAAAGTCACGTAGGTAAAAAATAAAATAAACAAAAATCACGACGTTTCGGCCACGAGGCCGCTTGTGTTGTGGCCGAAACGTCGTGATTTTTGTTATTTTTTTTTACCTACATGACTTTACCCAATAGAAACAGAGAGTATAGATCCTTGCAGTCACGAAAGCTTTAAATCTCGAAGAGAGAGTCCACTCAGAGAGGAGCCAGTGAGGAATGGACTGCGACCCACGACGATGGCGATGATCATGACGATAATAAGGACAATGACAAGTATAATGACGATTATGATGACGATAATAAGGACAATGGCGAGTATAATGGCGAGTATAATGACGATTATGATGACGATAATGAAGACAATGGCAATGATGACGATTGTGATGACGATAATGGAGACAATGGCAATGATGACGATTGTGATGACGATAATGGAGACAATGGCAATGATGACGATTATGATGACGATAACAAAGACAATGGCAATGATGACGATTATGATGACGATAACGAAGACAATGGCAATGATGACGATTATGATGACGATAACAAAGACAATGGCAATGATGACGATTATGATGACGATAACGAAGACAATGGCAATGATGACGATTATGATGACGATAACGGAGACAATGGCAATGATGACGATTATGATGACGATAATGGAGACAATGGCAATGATGACGATTATGATGACGATAATGGAGACAATGGCAATGATGACAATTATGATGACGATAACGGAGACAATGGCAATGATGACAATTATGATGACGATAACGGAGACAATGGCAATGATGACGATTATGATGACGATAACGAAGACAATGGCAATGATGACGATTATGATGACGATAACGGAGACAATGGCAATGATGACGATTATGATGACGATAATGGAGACAATGGCAATGATGACGATTATGATGACGATAATGGAGACAATGGCAATGATGACAATTATGATGACGATAACGGAGACAATGGCAATGATGACAATTATGATGACGATAACGGAGACAATGGCAATGATGACGATTGTGATGACGATAATGGAGACAATGGCAATGATGACGATTATGATGACGATAACGAAGACAATGGCAATGATGAGGATTATGATGACGATAATGGAGACAATGGCAATGATGACGATTATGATGACGATAACGGAGACAATGGCAATGCTGACGATTATGATGACGATAACGGAGACAATGGCAATGATGACGATTGTGATGACGATAATGGAGACAATGGCAATGATGACGATTATGATGACGATAACGAAGACAATGGCAATGATGAGGATTATGATGACGATAATGGAGACAATGGCAATGATGACGATTATGATGACGATAACGGAGACAATGGCAATGCTGACGATTATGATGACGATAACGGAGACAATGGCAATGATGACGATTGTGATGACGATAATGGAGACAATGGCAATGATGACGATTATGATGACGATAACGAAGACAATGGCAATGATGAGGATTATGATGACGATAACGGAGACAATGGCAATGATGACGATTATGATGACGATTATGATGACGATAACGGAGACAATGGCAATGATGACGATTATGATGACGATAACGGAGACAATGGCAATGATGACGACTGCGGCATGACGTCACCGGAGCACTTGATCTTGCACGCGTTGTGCCCCTTGGTCCCATTGTCGCACCACCACTTGCTGTTGATCTGGAAGATGCCGTAGTCGGTGGAGCCGTTGGGGTTGGGGTGCGTGGCCGCGGTGTTGTAGCTACTCTCGGCGAAAGCCAAACACATCCCTGGGTACCAAACACAAACATCACCCCCCCCCCCTTTAACAGACTGGTGGGGGTGAGGTGCGGTTAGCCAGCAGCAGCGCCTACGAAGGCCGGCTCCGTGGCACACGAGGGGGTGGGTGGCCAGCACCACGCCCGGCCGCCTTTGTCTCCACAGTGGCGATGTTTACACACCGCACCAGATCACTCATTTGAGGCCGAGTCGACCTAGGAGAGGCCCAGGATCGATTCAGATAACCACCGGTGTTGGCCGCGAGCGGGAATCGAACTCGGGTCGCCGGGTTCGTAGCGCAGCGTAGCGCTAACCGCGGCACCACCGCTCACCACCACCACCACCGCCGCCGCTCACCACCAACACCCAGCGAGTGAACCACAACATCCTCCCCAGCGGTGAGCTTACAGCGCGTGAGAGAAACCCGTTGTTCCGTGGTGAGCGAGTGAGTGGGTGAGCGAGTGAGTGAGGGGGTGAGTGAGGGGGTGAGTGGCTGGGTGACGCCTGTATATGTGGAGTTTGCGTGTCTCGCTCGCTCCCCGTTGTCGAGAGGAGTTTTTTTTTACGGGGTCCTTCGGGGTTTTCCCTCCACGTTTAGAATCAACATCACGTGTTTGGAGTAATTGGCTGATGTCAATGTACACGCACATAAGCCACTAAGTTCAACTATCATTTGTGGGCAGGTTGCTCCTGAAAAAGCGCTACATAGCTCAGTGGGCCTGAGAGCTGGTAAAATAAAAATACAATATTTCGATTTGAAGCTTTCGTGACTGCAAGGATTCATCTTCTTTGGTTCTTTCGGTAAAGTCACGTAGAATGAGAAGAAAATAATAAAATAACACAATAAAATTCTCACGACGTTTCGACAGAGCTTCAAGTTGAAGCTCTCTCGTCCGACAGGTCTGTACCTTTCACCTGAAGACGGCCGCTTGCGTTGTGGCCGAAACGTCGTGAGAATTTTATCGTGTTATTTTATTATTTTATTCTCATTCTACGTGACTTTACCGAAAGAACCAAAGAAGAAAAATACAATAGTTAAGCGGTCGCGCAGAAGTTTGCGGTTCGAATCCGCTTGGCCGCCCTGGTTAATAAAACAAATCACGACGTTTCGATCGCAACACAAGCAATCTTCATCAGGTGGAACAACCACGGCAAAAAAAATGCTGAAGTAGGCGAGGGAGCTGTGGTTGCTGTGGTTGTCACACCTGATGAAGATTGCTCGTGTTGAGATCGAAACGTCGTGATTTGTTTTATTTAATTTTATTTCTACCCACGTGACTTTACCGAAAGAACCAAAGAGTATGGATTCCTGCAGTCACGAAAGCTTCAAATCAAGATAGTTTAAATTTCGATTTAAAACGTTCGTGACTGCAAGGATTCATCTTCTTTGGTTCTTTCGGTAAAGTCACGTAGAATGAGAATAAAATAATAAATTGATAAAATAAAATAACACAATAAAATTCTCACGACGTTTCGGCCACAACACAAGCGGCCTTCATCAGGTGAAGGGACGAGACTGTCTGGAGGACAGCGCTGGAGTGAACACAGCCAAGCTCAGACCGCGACCTTTAAGCTGTGTGAGAAGAAACAGAGCGCCTTGACAAAGGAATTAGCATAGAATTTAGCATTGAAATAGCTAATTCCTAAATTCTATGCTAATTCCTTTGTCAAGGCGCTCTGTTTCTTCTCACATAGCTTAAAGGTCGCGGTCTGAGCTTGGCTGTGTTCGCTCCAGCGCAGTCCTCCAGACAGTCTCGTCCCTTCACCTGATGAAGGCCGCTTGTGTTGTGGCCGAAACGTCGTGATAATTGTATTGTTATTTTATCAATGTATTACTTTATTCTCATTCTACGTGACTTTACCGAAAGAACCAAAGAAAACAAGATTGTTTAGTTTATAAATTGACCCGTGAATAGTTCGACGATTAGTGGCTACTGAGCAAGCCAAAGCCCTTCAATGATCACAACGAATTTGCTGCGAAATAATCAACGCATTTGCATTGAAAAGGCAAACAATTCAATGGTGCTGGCACACTGCATTGTGGACCCTTCAATTACCATCGCAATCGATAACCATCCCAATTTGTTGCCACCCCAATCATTGACCATCTCAATCAATGACCATCGCAACCAATTAGCGCCCCCCGATCAATGACCATCTCAATCACTTAGCATCTCGTTAAATCACCATCTGGATCAATTGCCGGCCCACACAATTACCGTCTCAACCAAACGAATGCAACTGCCCGACGTTACGTGCAAAATTTAGGTCGAAAACAAATTGGAAAACTTCTGGCGGATTGAACAAAAAAAAATACTTGGGATTTTGATTGCGACCGTCAGAACAACCACCACCCCAGATCCTCGATCTACGCCCATCTCTGGCTCGGAATGTTGGTAGTGGAGGTGTGTGGGTGAAGCTCTCACAGTCGCCCAGGCTGGCTTTCCCGAAGCTCTCCACTCCCATGGCGTGCAGGGTCTTCGCGAGATCGCATCGTGCGAACACTTTGGCACGCGTTTGTGGGACGACGCAGAGAGACGCCACCAGCGCGCACATAGCGAATGAGCGAAACGCCATCGCGAGAGATTCTTTTTGATTTCCCACCACGGCCGCTCTCCGCTCTCGTTCCGCCTCTCGTTGTTCAGTCCGAACCCGGCTTTTATAGACCACCACCACCACCACCGCAGCTGCAGGAGGAACTCGCCGACACGTCGTGGCTTGCTTGTGGGCGTGGGGGACGTGCGGTGGTGCAATGGTTAGGAATGCGCTACGAACCATGGCGACCCCGAGTTCAGGTTTCACTTTGTAGAACAGGGGGAGATCACACAAACTCCACTCTCACTTTGTAGAACAGGGGGAGATCACACAAACTCCACTCTCACTTTGTAGAACAGGGGGAGATCACACAAACTCCACTCTCACTTTGTAGAACAGGGGGAGATCACACAAACTCCACTCTCACTCTGTAGAACAGGGGGGGATCACACAAACTCCACTCTCACTCTGTAGAACAGGGGGAGATCACACAAACTCCACTCTCACTCTGTAGAACAGGGGGAGATCACACAAACTCCACTCTCACTTTGTAGAACAGGGGGAGATCACACAAACTCCACTCTTACTTTGTAGAAAAGGGGGAGATCACACAAACTCCACTCTCACTCTGTAGAACAGGGAGAGATCACACAAACTCCACTCTCACTCTGTAGAATAGGGGGAGATCACACAAACTCCACTCTCACTCTGTAGAACAGGGGGAGATCACACAAACGCCACTCACTCTGTAGAACAGGGGGAGATCACACAAACTCCACTCTCACTTTGTAGAACAGGGGGAGATCACACAAACTCCACTCTCACTTTGTAGAACAGGGGGAGATCACACAAACTCCACTCTCACTCTGTAGAACAGGGGGAGATCACACAAACTCCACTCTCACTTTGTAGAACAGAGAGATCACACAAACTCCACTCTCACTTTGTAGAACAGGGGGAGAACATACAAACTCCACTCTCACTTTGTAGAACAGGGGGAGATCACACAAACTCCACTCTCACTTTGTAGAACAGGGGGAGATCACACAAACTCCACTCTCACTTTGTAGAACAGAGAGATCACACAAACTCCACTCTCACTTTGTAGAACAGGGAGAACACACAAACTCCACTCTCACTTTGTAGAACAGGGGGAGATCACACAAACTCCACTCCCACTCTGTAGAACAGGGGGAGATCACAAAAACTCCACTCACTCTGTAGAACAGGGGGAGATCACACAAACTCCACTCTCACTCTGTAGAACAGAGGGAGATCACACAAACTCCACTCTCACTTTGTAGAACAGGGGGAGATCACAAACTCCACACTCACTTTGTAGAACAGGGGGAGATCATACAAACTCCACTCTCGCTTTGTAGAACAGGGGGAGATCACACAAACTCCACTCTCACGCTGTAGAACAGGGGGAGATCACACAAACTCCACTCTCTCACTCTGTAGAACAGGGGGAGATCATACAAACTCCACTCTCACTCTGTAGAACAGGGGGAGATCACACAAACTCCACTCTCACTCTGTAGAACAGGGAGAGATCACACAAACTCCACTCACTCACTCTGTAGAACAGGGGGAGATCACACAAACTCCACTCACTCTGTAGAACAGGGGGAGATCACACAAACTCCACTCTCACTCTGTAGAACAGGGGGGGATCACACAAACTCCACTCTCACTCTGTAGAACAGGGGGGGATCACACAAACTCCACTCTCACTTTGTAGAACAGGGGGAGATCACGCAAACTCCACTCTCACTCTGTAGAACAGAGAGATCACACAAACTCCACTCACTCTGTAGAACAGGGGGAGATCACACAAACTCCACTCTCACTGTGTAGAACAGAGGGAGATCACACAAACTCCACTCTCACTTTGTAGAACAGGGGGAGATCACAAACTCCACACTCACTCTGTAGAACAGAGGGAGATCACACAAACTCCACTCACTCACTCTGTAGAACAGGGGGAGATCACACAAACTCCACTCTCACTTTGTAAAACAGGGGGAGATCACGCAAACTCCACTCTCACTCTGTAGAACAGGGGGAGATCACACACACTCTACTCTCACTCTGTAGAACAGGGGGAGATCACACAAACTCCACTCTCACTTTGTAGAACAGGGAGAGCTCACGCAAACACTACTCTCACTTTGTAGAACAGGGGGAGATCACGCAAACTCCAATCACTCACTTTGTAGAACAGGGGGAGATCACACAAACTCCACTCTCACTTTGTAGAACAGGGGAAGATCACACAAACTCCACTCTCACTTTGTAGAACAGGGGGAGATCACACAAACTCCTCTCACTTTGTAGAACAGGGAGAACATACAAACTCCACTCTCACTCTGTAGAACAGGGGAGATCACACAAACTCCTTTCTCACTTTATAGAACAGGGGGAGATCACACAAACTCCACTCTCACTCTGTAGAACAGGGGGAGATCACACAAACTCCACTCTCACTTTGTAGAACAGGGGGAGATCACACAAACTCCACTCTCACTTTGTAGAACAGGGGGAGATCACGCAAACTCCAATCACTCACTTTGTAGAACAGGGGGAGCTCACGCAAACTCCAATCACTCACTTTGTAGAACAGGGGGAGATCACACAAACTCCACCCACTCACTCAGTAGAACAGGGGGAGATCACACAAACTCCACTCTCACTTTGTAGAACAGGGGGGAGAACAAACTCCACTCTGCAGCACAGAGTGAGAGAGAGTCGAGTGGAACAGAACAGTGAGAGAGCATCCAAACTCCCAACACAGCAAAGACGCCCGTGTCGGGAATCAAACCCAATCTTTCTCGCTGCTCCACCCAGCAAATTGCTCAACGTTGCGTCAGATGTCGTGCGGCGCTGACCGCCGCTTGAATACGGAAGCCCGCGATGCTGTCGCCGTGGGGGGGCGCCCTACCCTTCCCTCCCCCCCCCGAGGGGGGGAGGGGGGCTAGGAGGCTAAGAGCTGTAGGCGACGGCGTGTTGAACGTGCATCAGCGTAGTGCACTAACCATTACACCACCTGTCAAAAGACCCCCCCCCCAACCCCCCCCCCGTGTAGCCTCAACAAACTGTTGGGGCAAGTTCTGTTAGCAAGTAGCAGCAGCAGCAGCTATGATGAGGTAGGTGACCAACACCACGCCCGGCCGCCTTTGTCTCCCTCCAGATGTTTACTATATACCGAAAAAGGAACTCGGTTGAGGCAATAGGAAATCCACAAGACACGTGAACGCCAAGTCATAGCGATGACTGCACCGGTGTGTGTGAGTGCAGACAAGGCACACGTCACGTGTGACACCCAAGCATTTTGTACATGCAATGTTATTGAGGGATTGTCGTCTTGGTGTGGTATGGGACCTCCTGTTGTTTTCCTCCCTTGCCCAAGCTTGGGAATGTGCACTCATGCAATTCGGACTCAAACCCTCTCTACTTTACGTATTTATTGCTTTGATCCTTTGCTTTCCGTTCCTCTACTTTGCACTCCGGCCGTTTTTTGTTGTTGTTGTTGTTGTAACTTTCTGACCCAAAACCTACTTGGGCAGCGGTGAAAAAGAGCTTCAAAGATCATCGTATTTCTCCAGGATAAAAAATATATATATATAAATTCCGATTCGAGCGGGGACGGCTGCTACCACAGTGGAGGTAGTAACGGCATTATCAGCTCGGGGGGTTGTGGATTTGTCTCGCACGGTGGCACCGAGGAATTATCGCGGCCGCTCCTGCCTCGTCACATCGTCGTCACGCTCACGGTCCCGAACGTTTAACGCTGTTAAGGGGTGGGGGCTCCGTCTTCGCAAAAATGCAGCCGCCACCATGCAGCGCCGTGGAAATGACCTCTTCGCAATATGATTGACGCGTATGGAATGAAATAAACATCGAAAAGCGCTGCTGCTCTGATTAAAATTAAAATAAATCGTGAAACGCATTTTCACGAAAATGTAAAATCGCGTCATCAGTAAGTGTTGCCGAGGTTGTTCTTGTACACCGTGGTCGAAAATAAATCTCGTGGGAGATTGTCAAGGGGGCTCCCCCCCCCCACCAACTCGTAGCTTTGACCATCAGGACGGGTTGGGGCGTTGCAGGGAGGGAGGCGGGGGGGGGGGGGGGCAAGGCACCCCCCGCCTGCCCCCACGCTCGTTACACCGCTGCTGGCTGTTACGTCTGGTCACTGGGGGGCTCACTGGGGGCTCACTGGGGGCTCACTGGGGGCTCACTGGGGACTCACTGGGGACTCACTGGGGACTCACTGGGGGCTCACTGGGGGCTCACTCACTGGGGACTCACTGGGGGCTCACTGGGGACTCACTGGGGGCTCACTCACTGGGGACTCACTGGGGGCTCACTGGGGACTCACTGGGGACTCACTGGGGGCTCACTGGGGGCTCACTCACTGGAGACTCACTGGGGGCTCACTGGGGACTCACTCACTGGGGACTCACTGGGGACTCACTGGGGGCTCACTGGGGACTCACTGGGGACTCACTGGGGACTCACTGGGAACGCGCGTGGGACGGAGGGGGCCAAGGCCACGCCCGCGGCACTTAAAAAGCGTTGCTGCGTGTCTCCAGGGCACCAGCGCACGCGGGGCGACGACGACGCGGTGGAGGGAGAGACAGAGAGACACAGAGACAGACAGAGAGAGACAGAGAGAGTGAGACAGAGAGAGTGAGACAGAGAGACAGAGAGACAGAGACAGAGAGAGACAAAGAGAGACAGACAGACAGAGAGAGACAGAGAGACAGAGAGAGACAGAGAGAGACAGAGAGACAGAGAGAGACAGAGAGAGACAGAGAGAGACAGAGACAGACAGAGACAGACAGACAGAGAGAGACAGAGAGTGAGACAGAGAGAGACAGAGAGAGACAGAGAGAGAGAGACAGAGAGAGACAGAGAGAGACAGACAGACAGAGACAGACAGAGACAGACAGAGAGAGACAGAGAGTGAGACAGAGAGAGACAGAGAGAGAGACAGAGAGAGACAGAGAGAGACAGAGAGAGAGACAGAGACAGACAGAGAGAGACAGAGAGACAGAGAGAGACAGAGAGAGACAGAGAGAGACAGGCAGACAGAGAGACACAGAGACAGACAGAGAGAGACAGAGAGAGAGACAGAGAGAGACAGAGAGAGACAGAGACAGACAGAGAGAGACAGAGAGACGGTTCGAGGCGTTTGACGCGCGACGTTTATTCCGCAAGCCCCGTGGCAGCCCCTCGGGTTTTCTCCCCGGCGAG